TTTTTTTTTTTTTTTTTTTTTTTTTTTGCAATCCTTGTGCGCGCGCTGAATTACATCAGCAAAAGCGCGCGCGAAAACTGTGTTCGGCCACGTTAAATATTCCTGAAGTTACGTACAAGGGAAGAAATCCTTCCCCCTCCCCTGACCTGTGTACATCCACCCCCTCTCCAGGGGACGGATGTACACAGGCTACCTTTTCCCCAGTCGTAGAAGCCCACTCTAAATAGGGCGGCCCTCCCTAGCCACACCTCTTAAACAACCGAGCTGCAAAACGAAAAAATAAATAAGCAAACAAACAAGCAAACAAACAAGCACCACATTGCATCTGAAAGTTTGGTTTTATCAAAATATCTTAATTACATGTATTATTAACTTTAAGTTGACCATTTCTATGTTTATCCCAGACGCAAATTACAATGGTGTATACGAATGCATTGAATATGACCCAATCTATACAAGCATTATAAACATTAATTGTAGAATCACCCACCCTTCGCAGAAGAGCCTTCTTTGAGGTGACACCGCGAACTTGCGCATGATCCCCTAACCAATCACAGTGAAGGTATTTTTTTGCCAGCCAATCACAACTTGCCTTGTGCGCAATTTTTCCCGCCTGTAACAACGGTTACATGTTTTCCCCGCTTGTTTCCTGATTGGTTTGTATTTGCTCTCTGTTCTGCTTTCTTTGGTTTATTTTCAACGGAAATGTAATTGACAAAATTGGCTGTGCAATTTTGAGTTTTTGGTCAGTTATTGGAAAATTCTTCTAGGCATCTAACAATAAGGGTTAGTCCCGGATAAGAAAAAGTTAACAAGCTTAAGAAAAAAAAAAAAACACGCAATAGACTGCAGAACAGGCGGATTAGCGGGCCTGAGATCGAGACGCGATAGACGCGCGCAGAGCGCGACCACGAGCACGAAGCGCGAGTCTACTCGCATTGCGCATGCTTGGTCTCGCCTTGCTCTCTGATCCGCTAATCCGCCTATTCTGTAGGCTCAAAAATGCCTGACTGCACACTCGTTTCACACTAACTTTTCTTCCCAGCCTACAGTGAGAGTTCAGCGAAAGGAAAGTTCTCCTTGTAAGTTAAAGACTCAGTTACAGTGTAAAGCAACTCATTGCATTGTCCAGTTGTATGTTATTTGCAATCTTCTGCTCTACGGGTGAGTATATCAGTTTACCTCAGTGGTCCCGATCCATGTTGCCCTCTCATGATTCTAGTTATGTTTGACTTATAGGATACTTAACGTTATTTTGTCCTCGCTGATTCCTCCCTTGGAGTATTTTTCTGACCTCCTCTCTAAGCTTTGCACTGATAAAGTTAAGAGAAATTAAAAACTTGTCAAGACTAAAATCGTTGACACATTCGTGAAATCTATTCCATATTAATAACCCGCTCAACCTCGACATATTGTAGAGATCTTCCTCATGTCTAACGAAAACCATCTAATCATTTTTTTTTTTCTATCTTTGAGTTAAGGTGCTAGGGTTTTATATAGCACCTTATATTTCGTCATGGTGTATGTCTATACGTTGGAATAAAAATCTTATTAACCATTTAATATCAGACTCGCCAACCACAGAACAATGCAGAAAGCAGTGAGCGTTACATTCTTACAAAGTACATTCTGGTTAAGTAGGTTCCTCTTTAGATTCTACTTTCCTGTGTTTGTTTGCTTTTGTTTTTGTTTGTTTTTTGCCGGTTGTTTTTGTTTGTTTTGTTTTTGATTTTGTTTTTGATGGCAAAGCGCGTAGCTGTCCGAAAGTTGTGAAAAAGATAAGGGGAAAATTGCGAAGGATAGCGAACGAAATACTATATTTTTGAGGCGATATACATTATGAGACTCCTTCAATCTGCAGTCCCTTCTACGAGAATCGACTTTGGCCGCTGCATTAACAAGAGGCTTACGTATATACACAACATAGCCCCTTTAACTTGCGATAAGACTATATCCGGCGCGCTTGATTGTCTAAGACTTTGGCAAAACGTTCGGGAATTCGTTCCACCGAACGATCTTACTGGAAAACACATCTACGTGTAAGTACGGGATAATTCGTGTGACACAAAACTAATCATTTTCATTTATCTTTTCTTGTGGCTGATTGATGGGGGCTATCCTTTGCTAAGAGTTAATTGTGAGCTGAGCGAATCCAATAAGTGTGCGATCGTCTGGCGGCTCGTTTAAATTCCCACTTGATTTCTGAAATAAATACAAAAGTAAGAAATGAAGGACACATCTATAGCATAAAGTCAGTGCTAGGAATCTCAAGAACCAAGCGCCTTACATGTAGCTTTATAATCACTTCCTCAGTCTTCAAGAGGGATGACACGGTATAGCATTTTGCCAGGTTGCAAAATCAATTTACAGACCTGTACCCTTTTACACTTCTATAAATCGCAATGTTCAGAGAGGATGCCACATCAGCCTTGGCTGGTTTTCATGCAGGTCCTCTGTCCTGGTCGAATTGGAATTTGGAGATGTTAGTTTTTGTGGAGGGAGGAAAGCCGGAGTAACCAAAGAAAAACCCTCCGAGCAAGGCGAGAACCAACACCAAACTCAACCCACATATGGCAACAGGCTGGAATCGAACCCGTGCCACATTGGTGGGAGGCGAGCGCTCTCATCAAAGCGCCATTCCTGCTCCTCACGAATTCACCTCGAGAGCTACTGTGAGAGAAGTGTCTTGATCAAGAACACAACACAGCGAGCCTGGTCAGAGCCTGAAGCCTGCCCTCTCTAATCGGGATGCAACGCACTACCCAACACGCCTCCCAAACAAACGAGAAATCAAACACAAACAAAAGCACACACGCGATACTTACCAGCGGGAACGTCATTGATTTGCTACTTGGTGGATTATCAATTACTTTGCTGAGGTTAGCGGCAACTGGAAAGAGCAAATACAGGAAATGTTGAACAGATCACAAACACTATACGCCCGAAAAGGGAGTAATGAGAACTTTGCGAGAGTACGAGAGTACGTCTTACCAACTACTAAATCCTGTCCACTTATTAGACCGGCCGACACGAGCTCTTGCGCCACGCCTTCAGCTGTATCTGAGTGAGGAAAGGATCAAGATAAGGCTGAATGACATGAACAATGCACCAAAAAAAAAAAAGAAAGAAAAACAGGAATATAAAACAAGAAAAAGAAAAGAAGATAAAAGAAGCAGAAAAACTAGTCTATATTTAGCAAGTTGACAGAGAGCAAAAGGATACGAAAGGAAAAGAGCTGAGGAGAGGGGAGAGGGGTGGGGGTAGTACTGATAGCTTGCAGCCAGTCCCGAGAGATTTAAACAACAACGACGAGGCAGCTGAGCCATGTTGAATATACACACAAGGAAATCTTTAGTCAATGCCCTCAACATTGCGGCGATAACATCACGTAGAAGTGGCTGAAGAGTTGATGTCCCCCCAAAAAATATGGAGCAAGTCTGCAGACGTAAAGGGAGCTTTGAACTTAGAGGGAAGTAGTTGTTTGGAGTGTACTGGACATGACTTCGCCACAGCAATAACGTTTCTCATTTGCTATACCTTATTACATGAAATTTTCGCAACAAGTTCATTTCGCGATGTTGAGGTGCGCATATTTCGCGACACTTAAATTCCGCGATTTTGCGAAATTGTTGTATTTTGAATCTCTTTGACTTCGCGTTTTTGAGTAACACACAATTTATTTCCTTGACAATGTTACCTTAACATGTCCTTGTAGATATAAAAGTTGGATTATATTGTAAAACAAATGGGAAAAGTAAATCGTTAAAAGGGCTATTAAAGAGAAACGGAGACACATATAAGAGTCAACAAAACCATGCAAAACTTCTTACCTTTACCAGGAGTGAAGTCAAATCTGATATCATTCAATTCTTTCTTAGCATTTCTGTAACAGATCAGAAGATTCAAATGATGACACATTATGATCACTTCCAACACAATCACAAAAGTTCGGATAAACGGAACAGGAGATTCGGCATTCTCGCATCCTTTTTAATTTATTATTACTTTGGTTTTACAAGCACAAACTCAACAAAACACAACCCACATACCTCAATCTAAGGGTAAGATCCAAATTAATTTGTGCAGCTGAAAAATGATACAAAACTGTCAGTAACCTCAAAAAGCTGCAGCCCTCAAGGGCAAGAATTTCTTGGTTAAGTTTTCAGTACCATGTCCTCGGTCCATTGTTGTGTGACCAGAACGAAACACGGGCTACGTGACACATGTGCGTTGCGTGACAACGGTGACGACACAAAAGATACTACACTACATGTTGTATTAACGATACTTACGAGGTTTTGGTGATGTTGGTGTGGACGGTTGGACGTGGATAGGCGGTCCTTCGTTTTTGGGTGGATTTCCCTGAAAAATAAAAATATGCTTAGTTCACACAGAATACAAGAAATATTATTTTAGTTCATGTAAGGAGCGTCGGTTTAGTTTTCGGCAGATTCATTAGTTTTAGTCTCAAGAGTGCATTTCATCCTGTCAGTGATCGAAGGGTACCACACATGCACATTGCGCATGCGGAAATTGCGGGATATCACTTAGGCTGATTGACTTTCTTTCTTTCTTTCGTTGCATGTTAAACAACGAAACTAGGCAAGAATAGGAAGACGGCGAAAAGCGGAAGTTCTTCAAAGCTTATCGACTATCCCCAGAGTTAACTTCAGTTCACTTGTGTGTCAAACGGGTCAAAACACTCGTCGAGGTCGCACAAAAATCTAAGCGAGTTCGAATTTAGCGATTGGCCAGCGATTGAACGCCAGTTGGTGTTTTTGGCATTTCCTGCACACTTTAAAAGGAGGTCGGGCACGTACCTCAAGTGCAACGAGCGATTCACACTAGAAGCCGCCGCAGCCTCTTCCAGGAAATAAGTCAGTTGCGGCGAAGCACGAAACACGGCGGCGCAAAATGTGCTATTTTTCGCGGTGTGTTCCAACCAACAGAACACCTGCAAGAGGCTGAAGCCGACAAGGATCACCTAGGCCTACATGTAGTTCTGCATGCATGGACTTTTTCGTTGTCATCTTACCTTTACAGTATCCACATTTGTCGATTTTTGTTTATCTTCTCCGTCGTCATCATCGCTTTTACCTCCTTTTCTCTCTTCGTCATCTGACCACTCCCAGCTGCCATCGGCCGCGCGGTGAAGCCGTCCACTGGAGCCTGGGACTCGCTTTACCTATGATGCAAATAAGATGTTACGTTAGAAGACTTACTGAATAAGGTGCGTGGAGTATCGAACGAAGCCAATGAATGAATCCTTGCCTAGAGTGGATTCATTGTCTCCCTTGATGCACCATGATCCGAGTGATCTTGGATCACTGATCCTGATTTGGATCATCCTAAAGCAACGCATCTTTCGTCTAAGAAAATTAAAAACTGACTACATGAAGCGTAGCTTCAGTTACAGCGGAGCTTCTCTATGGAACGATCTTCCCGAGGAACCTCGTATTACAGAATCCTTAGACCTCTTCAAGAGAAGCATTAATAAATGGTTCTCTGAATCGGACACCCACACGGCAAATATATAAAAAAGTACATAGGAAATCTTACGTGCGATGTACACATTTTTCTTTTTCCATTACCGTCAAACCCAGTGAGGCGTTCCCCTCAAGATTACATTAATGAATTGATTATTTGAATATTGAACCCGCTAGTCGTTTCAAGAGTGCAATAATGAATTGATTGTTGGAAAATTGAGCCCACTAGTCGTTCCAAGAGTACGGCTAATGGGTTTAATGTTCAAAAAAATCGATTTAATATTGATTTTTGAAATGACTAGCGAGTTCAATATTCAAATTATTAATTCATTATTGCATTCTTGAAACGATTAGCGGGTCCAATATTCAAATAATTAATTCATTAATGTTATCTTGAGGGGTACGCTTCACTTGATTTGACTGTAATGTATGCTTATATTTTTTACCGTGTTACAAATAATGTTTTCATTCATTCATTCATTCATTCATTCATTCATTCATTCATTCATTCATTCAACCATCACACTCTAGCTGATCGACGTATACAAGATATGTTAATCTTAGCTTTTAAAGCTGTCAACAACCTTCTTCCTACATATTTAAGTGACTTGTTTACTATTCGTGAGAACATTAAGAATCTAAGGGGCACCAACAAGCTTGTCATCCCTAAAGTTAACACCACCCGTTATGGGACTAAGTCCGTGGCCTACACTGCTTCAAAAGCTTCGAATTCACTTCCGGATACACTACGTTGTATGAAGACACAAAGATTTTAAGATTGCGGTTAGATCTGTTGTAAATTTACATACGTAAACTAGTCTTAGCTATTATATATTTATATCTTGTAATTTTTTAATTTCAATTTTCGTTCGTTTAAAGTTATTTCTCTCGGTAAATTAGCATAATCTTGCTAGAGGCCTAATCAGCCTCATCAACCCGAGTTGAAATAAAGTTATCTATCTATCTATCACTGGGCAGGGCGGGGTAATATAAATTTACGCGTCGTTAGAAATGCCGTATCACCAACAACAACGAACTAAAGATTTTCGGCGAGGGAAAAAAGTCTAACTACGGAAGCCCGGACAAAAAATAATGGTTTGAGTGCTGAGTAATGTCGTTCAGTTACATTTTTGTCTGGTTGCTTGTAACTTTATTTCTTGCTTTTCGTTTCCGTTCTTATTTGTTTTTATTCCGTTTTGTTATCTATAAGATGTGCATCAGTTAACTACTTACCTTCTGTGACCTTTCACCCAGTGAAGGCATAAGCGGGACTAAACTTTCAACTAGAAATTCCTTTTCCTGCAAAGAAGGGTATAGAAACATTTGCCCAAACACGCGAACCCTGTGAGAGTTTTAGGAACAGTTTATTTTTGATGAGATAGGGGTGAGGAGGGGGTCATGGCAAAAAAGAAACTCCTTCAAGTGGGGAGGGGAGAGGGGGGAAAGGGGGCTCTGAACATGCTCCAAGATCCGCCCACATTAATTGATAGATGTTCCCAACAGCATCAACCCAACCCCGCCAACTATTTTGTAAAAAATACAGTCGACCCTCCCTAACAACAACATCCAATTATCACTTTAAGACTGTCGCAATCTAAAAGGATTATGAGTGGGGAGGGAAAAAATTCTGATAGTGGGGAGGGGGTTAGGAAATTTAAAAGGATTACCTTAAGTGTATAAAACGTCACAAGCCCTCCCTACCATATAAAAATAGATAATAAATAAAACGAATAGACTAATTTATTGCATCTGAGGCAGCAGCCTTACCCTCGCTTTCTTGAAGAAGGGAAGTTTTAAAAGTTCTTTAGCATCTGGCCTAACGATAATACAGTCACATTAATGCTTTCAGAAAGACTGAAATTCCAACAACATGTAAGAGGGAGACAGCTGACTATTCACTCTTCCTACAATAACACTAAGTAACATGCAACACAGTTTGGTAAAAATGTACCATGATATCCACCTTTGTTTCATTGGCATAAAAGCAACTAGGAGTATTTAATTTGCACCCTTCAATTGTACATGTATACATGCTTAAATTACATTAAGTTCATCAGATCTACATGTAGTGGTCTTAATTTTTATATTATTTCATACCTCTGAGCAGGCTCTTTCATCAAACAACTACTGATCATCTTTCTGAACACCTTGGAATACTTCTTGTAGTTTTCTTTTCCGTCATTCTGAGCAACAGTGTCGAGAGAAGGTGGGTCATTCTGTAACGTTAACATAAGTACCTGGAAAGAAAAGAAGTTGTGTTAAAAAAACATGATGTGTTTCCCGAGTTGTGTTGCATCGTAAGCCTAAGCTGCCCTGCATCGTGAGCCTTAAAGCTGCCCATGCTAACAGTTGTCCTAAAATTGTTATCAAAATCTACGAGCCAGCTTACCTTCATGGCTGGAAATTTGGCGTAAGGAGCTGTTCCAGTTGCCAGTTCAATGGCTGTAATACCAAAACTCCATATGTCAGCCTTGTGGTTATATCCATGAACCTAGACAAGTTGGCATGTCATTAACTTAAAGCTAAGTTTGAAAATATGAGCATGATGGCTTATACATGTACATGTAGAATAAGAAAAACAACAGCAGAAGTAAACATTATAACAATATCAAGACATTGAAAGAATAGATGGCCGGCAGGTGTGCTTTGAATTAAATACTACTGGCTCATTAGAAGTAAGAAGGGACTGGGTACTACATGCAGTAGTTACCAGGTCCCTTTGTTTAACTCTGTCTATAGAAGATGCATTTACAACAATTAGAGTATGTTACATTACATACATGTACACTGTGACAACACATGTATCCCAGAATTTCAATATTTGAAACATTGCACCAATGGTAACAAAAGCACATAAATTATTATAAACTTTTTTTTTTTGTTTTACTGTCGCAGATTTTGCACTTTTTCAAAAATAATATAATGAATATATATACATATTGTGTATATTCGTACCACTAATAAATTTCTCTTCAATACTGCATGGGAATTTGGTTGACACTCTACTTTTTAAATGAGTCACTGAGGAAGTGGGGAATTTTTCCATGCATCTGCATATTAAACAATCCCTTCGTATAAACACTGCAAGGGGCTTGGCCCTCCCAACTTCCCCCATGTTGTGTTGACATGTCACAAGCTGTTGAATAGGCCTACCTCTTCAACAAGCCACCTTGTGCATGCCAGCCTCAATGTCGGAGTGTTCTACTGTAGCTAGTAAGTAACTGTACAAAGTCGTGTAATATTTTAATGACTCTCACCTGCTCCATGACTTCTGGTGCCATCCAGCATGGTGTACCCACAAATGTCTTCCTAACCTTCGGCCTGGATCTGTCGCCGTAGTCACTAATCACAGAACTAACACCAAAATCTACAAAACACATATTAAAGATCCCAGTCAGCCACATCACTCTTTGTGTTAAGCACTTGTTAAGTCATTCATTTGGGTCAGGGTGAAAGTATGTATTTTTACATGTACATGTAAGGCAACATGTTGAGGCCATTATGGTCTGTAAACATTTTGCACTGGATACATTCAATTTGTACTCTTTGTAACCTTTTAAAAACCCATCACATATTGCATTTTGTTTGTCAGTCTTCCATTTTAGTGCAAGCTCAGTTGACTCACTCAGAAGGATTCAGTAGACAAAAATAAATTAAAAGTATTAATTAAATTTACATTGAATTATACCTCTTACTAACTGAGTTTGAGTTACGGACCATGTTTTTCCCCTTTGATTTATGGCCCAAGTGTCAAGTGCGCGGGCCATAAATCGATGGGGGAAAAACGAGGAGAGATGTAACATTATTAGCTACCTTTTCAGTATGAGTTTACATTTAATTTTACTGCTTTGGATAAACTAAAGTGCACAGAGAGAACATACCAGCTAATTGTACTGTCCCATCAGTAGCCAGTAGGATATTACCAGCTTTAACATCCCTACAAAAAGTATTTAAAAAAAAAAAGAAAGCCATACATGTAAATCAAAAAATACTGTATGCACTGTATATATAGCAATGATCACCTATATATTTATACAGTTGGAAACCCTTATTTCAAACTATCAGGGGGAAAGAAAATTCAAAATAGCCCATAGTAAATGACTGAAGGACAAACCAAGGGAAATGGTTTTGAGTTTGAAATAATGGAGAATTCAAAATAACCGAGTTCAAATTAGTCAGTACATGTACATGTACATGTACACGACCTTTGTAAGCTAGTAGATCTCAGGATTAAGAGGCACTATTAAAGTTGTACCTGTGCTTCTATCACCTAAAAACACTCTATAAGGACCCAAATTATTAGGCAGGTCTCAGCTAAATGTCTGAAACCAGTCTTAAAAGACTAGCTTCAGAACATGAATTAATTAATAAACATAACCACAAATGATGTGCTTACATGTATCTCTAACAAAGTTATGTCTACTTATCAACAAATACAAGAAATCAATAGCATTAATTCAATCAAGCTGGTATAAGTAGTTTCTTGAGATCAGGGGATTTATTATAAACAAACCTGTGTATAAGGCCTTGACTGTGAAAATAATCCAGGCCTTTCAGAACTTCTCGCAACACGGATGCTATTACTGCCTCATCAAGGACACCATCTTCGCAGCCACCCCGCTTTTTCTGGTGCTTTATCACATCAAGCATGGAACCTAACAAATTAAAGCAAAATAATTCACATACACTGTATTAACACATGTGTTCAAGTTCTTGCTCTGTGGTTGTTTGCATTTTGATTTGTGAAAATACATGTAATCCTTTTCCCTAAAGACCACAATCCTTTCAGTCAACACAAGAATCTGGACCTCTCTAACTGGTGCAAATGTTTTAAACCAGTCCAGAGTTCTTGGTTTTGATTGTCAGCCAATCAGATCATAAACCTAGTAAACTAAGCTAACAAACCCTTCATGCTTGGTCTGTGCAGACCAACTCAAAGTCAAGATGGGATTCGACTGCTGGGAATGGTAATCTTCAAAGCCCAAAAAACTGAATCTACATGCGTTTTTGTCATTTGAGATAAAGTAATGGAATACATGTAGCTAGAGAAACTTTAAAGGATTTACAATATAAAGTCTGCATGCGAGCCAAGTGGCCCATCAGGCCGGAGCTTATCCCGGTTTCTGTAGCATGAAGCGACTAGGAGTACTACTACTCCTCCCTGGATGGGATGCTAGTCCATCGCAGGGTTACCCCCAGCATTAAGTTCGCCGGTACCCATTTATACACCTGGGTGGAGAGAGGCACTGTGAGAGTAAAGTGTCTTGCCCAAGAACACAACACAATGTCCCCGGCCAGGGCTCGAACCCTGACCGCTCGATCCGGAGACGAGCGCACTAACCATGAGGCCACCGCGCCTCCAACATGCTAGACTAAAGATCCCTGCAATGTGTTCTCGAGTACTCAAGACATTTAACTCTTGCAGTGTGGGTACTAGTCGGCAAATTTAATGCTAGAGTGTACATGTAGCCTTGCAGTGGAATAGCATCCCATACAGGGCAGTGTAGAAATACAAAATGCACTCCCAGTTGCTTAATATCAAAGAAAATGGGATTAGATCTGATGGTATGGACCTGGCATGGAACATTTTTTGTCAATAAGACATTACAGCAGAGTGAATTAATATACCTCCATTCAGCAATCTCATCACAATCCACAGTTCTTGTTTAACCACAAATGAAGTATAGTAATTCACTACATTCTCGTGGTTGCACTGGCTCATGGTACGGATCTCTTTCTACAACAAAAATTTACATTAGATATAGATGTGATTAGTAAAATATAAAATAGCTTCCAGGAGTATGCATTAAACAATGATTTGTCCAATTGAATATCAATTTTGTTATATATGTATACATGTATAAAAATTGTACATCACACCACCCAACAGGGTCCTCTAATCTGATCTAAAACTGGATATCCATTTTCTAAAATGGGGCACAATATATTTCGTACCAACAAAAGCTTAGCAGCAGCAAATATTATTTTAAATTGCCTAAAATAATTTGCGTTACACATTTGTGAGGTCATTAATATTAGGACCAAAAAAAAAAAAATCAAAAAAGGACTAGTATTGAAATTTCCTAAATTTCTATGGCATTAAAAAATGGCCCCTTTCAAACACAGGATGTCATGTTTTGAATACAATCCTTTATGCAGCTGAGAAACCAAGTCCAGAATTGGATACCATGAGGCAATCCAGACACCAAAATTCTATCCAAGTATCTCTCCCCCCTACCCCCCTCCTCCCAAACTTACATTAGCACCATGGTGAGTGTGCTCTTGAAAGTAGATAATCTTAATCTTATGATTCCTAGCATGCAGGGTCAAAACAGTTGCTGAATCTCTGTGCAGGTCTCAACCAGTAGTGATTGTGCAACTGCCAGATTGCTTGCTGTTAGTGACCTGTAGTCTGCATAAGGGATTGGGGGGAGGACCCCCCGAAAATTGCAATTTGCATTTTAAAGGAGTGGGGGCTGCCCAAGAAATGGAGGGAAATGAGAGAGGCTGTTTAAAGTGTCTGTTGATAATTGTTCACCTATTACCCGCAACATCAACTGGACATTTACACTGTAAGAGGGTAGGAGATAAGACGAGTTCATTTCTGGATATCAGTCTGGGGCACTTTGGACCAAAAGCAAAAGATTTGATCCAATTTAATAGCTTTACTTTCAACTGAGAATGACACAACAACGACAGTCTTGAAGTTTTCACCTGCAAATATGATCACAACTGACTTAACTTAGACTTAAGAATAAAGGGCAAAGCATACATAAACAGTGTAGTCAAACATGGAAAATGTGAATGGCATAAAAACATACAGATGTTTCAACAGAACAGTTACAAGAAAGCTTCATTTGATAAATAAAAAGTGTCCTTTATGTTTGAATTTAAGCAATAGAATGATAGTTTAACATGTTAGAGACATAAACTGCAGTGACTGGAATGCAGTAACTCTCAGGGTGGGGGTGGGGAAGGCGATTATGACCAAAATGCTCGGTTCATGCTCATGTTATGTAAGGAAGAAGTGAATATGTCAACAGCCCCTAACAATTTATTGCAAACTGAACATGAAAGAGTGACATGCGCAATGTACATTCCTCTCAGCGCTATCAATAAGGGCCATAACCCGTAACACCTGTTACAGCTGAGTATGTTTGATGGACCCTTGATGTTACGGGTGAACTGGCCTGTAGTTGATACAATTCACCCATAAAGTAACAAGTTTGCTACGGGTGCCAAGATCAAGGCTACAGGTGAATTAAAACTTAACGACAGCCCTGCCTCTAATCCATAAATATCTATTTTAGGAAAAATTACACATTTTGGTGCCTTAATCCTCTAATTATGAAATCAAATTTACACGTAGATCTATCTGTTTGGAAATTATAGTAGAATTCACAACTTGTATTAAAGAATACATAAAGACATCCTAGAGGGTGAAATAATACACAGTACATAGATTTCAATACGAGAACTTTCTTAAAGTACTTTGCACTTGAAAAATAAACACGATACAAGCTGAAGATAGTGTACACAGCTGCATGTAACTTATTTCGCTGATGACATTTTCATTAATTTTTTATTTTTCTTGATTGACAAAATCAGCTTGTAGCTTTAAGTTTAAATATGCGGTTTCTATGGCATAAGGGCTTTTATGACAGGTACCTATGAAATTGTTTAGATTAGACCTATCGAGCACTTGTAAAGACTGCTTCACAAGAAATGCCAGGTGAAGTCGACCGTACAAAGTACAGTGTGAAATAAAAAAGAATACGTCAAAGCCAATTTTACTAAACTAGGGTAATCCTGGAGCTCCAATCAGAGATCCAGCATATGCGTCATGTTGTTTAGCATTTCCAAGCCGCTTGTCGTGACTCACAGTAGTTAACTTACCATCATTTCATCGATACTAGCTCCGCATTTCTCCAAGTCAATCCTCTTCACAGCTACACGTTCCTTGCGAGGAATGCACAGAGCAGCTTGGACGACGGCCGTAGCTCCATAACCTTGGGTGAAAATAATATCTTAGATGCAAAGGCTAACGTCTGTTTGCATAGTACAACATGAAAATCGCACCTATAACTTCCTGCAGTTCATACTGTTCCTTTTCATTCGGCCATCGACCTTCGCCGGCAGCCGCCATGTTTCTCGTTTGAAGCCCTCCGACGCTAATTTCTTGTCCGGGAGGTAGGAGGGGATGATTTTGCTATTTAGTGCCCAGTTTCTTAGCTTGCCGACTTCTAAAATGGCCTGGGGTCCAACTTAGAGAAACTTAGAGATACTTTCCACATCTACTGTCTTTCTTTTGGAAACGCGGAAAGCGCGAGCGAGCAAAATAAAAACGCAATTATCCGAGTGAGACTGAATCGTGCCGAAGAGTGAGTGGAAATTTAACATAACCAGGTTTTGGAATATATTTTAATCAGTGATTTATATTTTGTTCTTTGCCCGCCGGCCTTTTCTTTCGTGCACGAGCTCGACGCGACTGAAAGTGACGTAATCTAATTGTGACGTATATAATCGCCATCGTTCGAATTTTTGTGTGGGGTAACTTGATACGTGATGAGAGTTGAAGTTTTTCTTCAGTCCGCCGCTATTAAGATCTTGCAACAAAAACTTTCTGGCGTTTCTTTCCCTGCTGGTAGGTAGCTTTCACTTGTGTTTTCCTTTTTTTTGATTTATTGTTTCAGAAGGAGCATGAAAAAAAGTCAAACACGAAAAGGGAATCTAAACGGTACGCCAAAAGTTATTTTAAGATCTTTTTGTGTTCTGTTCGTCGGGTTTGTTTGTTTGTTTGTTTGATTGCTTGTTTGCTTGTTTGTTTTCTTTCCGTGCTTTCCTGCTTCTACGTTACCCGCAATAATAGTTTCAACTTTAAATTTCTTGTCCATTTCTTGACAATAGCGCGTTTTTATCCATATCAACAAATACTGTTCCCAACTACCCCTCCCGAGTCTTTAATAAGTCAAAAACCATTCCCTAAACATCAGGTTGATGGCGAATTAGCTGCTAGAGCCACTCATTAGGGGCGGACCATTGGAAAAGTGATAGGGGGAGGGTGGGACTTTTTCAGCCCGCAGGAATTTTTTTTCACGTCCACTGCCTCTGCAGGATTTTTTTTGTTTTCTTTTTTTCGAGTTCAAGTCCCCTGCACGAATTTTTTTTTTTTTTTTGGATGGGGTTGGGGGGGATTCTAGTATCGCAATCTTAATCTTGACACTTGACGCAAGCTGATTATCTGGAACAGGCTTTAAACATTTTTTTTTTTTTTTTGTCTTTCACATAGCCGTTTTGCTTTACTGTCAAAATTATACTGCGGAGGGAACATAACCAACTATCAGACACATTTAAGTGGCTATAACCTAACTGATGGGGTTGCGTTGCATTTTTTGTTTCATGTTAAGGGAAATATAAATTTTATTTATTTATTCCCCTTGTAATGAAATTCATTCTTGGCATGTAGTGAATCAAGGTTTAAGCTAGGATTCTATGACTGGCCGTCCAGTAACAAATATGGGGGGAAATGGCCTATTCCACTAGAGGGGTTCACTAGAGAAAATTTTGCAAAATTGAAGCATTTTTGGTGCGTTTTCTACGATTTTCAGCAGATAAATTTAATGTATCGATTGGACTTGAATGATGATGCGTCGTTTACTTTGTCAAAAACCTAAACTAGATTGAAACAACCCAAACTAAACGCATCAGTTGTCCATAGTAATCGCATCATGATGTCATTATTTACGACGTTTGTCCAACGTTGATCTTAGCGGCCATCTTAGGGCAAGTGTTACGGTTCGCCATGCTGGTGTGTACATCTGTGTCCGCAATCGTCATTTAAAACATGTCATTTGTGAAATCACTCCTATATCTCGAGGCTTTCAATACACGGTATGTTCTTGCTTAATTGCAAACAAATGAAGCAGGATGGCTGTTTATGGCCTAACATGGTATTTTTTTATTATTATTATTATTATTATTATTATTATTATTATTTTGTTATCACTTTTAAGATTATGAGATTACTGTACACAAAATGTAGCAGACTTGAAAGGCCTGAAAAATGTCTGTTTTCGTAATTGTAGAGAAAACCAGGTCCAAGAAATTAAAGCTGCAGTATAATGGCTGCCAAGGTGCCCTTCAGGCGAGTACAGTTTGTTAGCCCGACAGTGCAGTTCACTCTGCAGGAATATTTTTTTTTCTTCACTTCTCCTTAGGAAGATTTTTTTTTTCAGTCACCCTCTCTTGCATGAATTTGTTTTTTTGTTTTTTCCCCCACCCCACCCCCATCACTTTTCTAATGGTCCGCCCCTTAATTGTGCGCGTGAATCTTTGGTTCAATACTTAATTATTTATTTTTTTATTAATTTACTTTTATTTATATATATTGCCTAACTGCCACGGGTTTCCCGCTCCGCTTAGAAATGGTTCAAGTGCTGTTTACATCTGTGTACTATCTGTTGATGTTGATGCTATTGATTCTCGGCGTTATGGCTTTTCTTGTACGACTTTACTCGTACGGAACAACCCGAAATCTTGAACCGGACAGAAGGACACTACCAAAACAAGAAAAGTAAGTGTGCAATTCAGCAACTTGCAATTCAGCCGCAAATGAACTCAATTAACTGAATACAGAGTACACCGAACTAAGGAATGTTTCAGGCATTTTCGGACTGTACGAAGGTTCACCAGACCGAAGTAAAGAACAATGTATATACACACACATATACTTTTTGATAAGGCAGGTCTGAATAAGACAACCTTATTAGGGCTGGTCTGCACTTGTCATAAAATGTAACAACTGAAACAAATTATTCAAACTGAACATAACACTGTTAAGAATCCCAACTGGTCGGAGGCAAACCAGATGGCTATTTACAAGCGTGGCCGAGGATTTGAACTCGGGGCTACCGTGAAACAAATCCAGGTAGTAATCAGAGCGCGACTCGAACCTGGGAGCGCTGGATTGTAAGTCTAACGCACTAACCACTCGGCCACGCTGCCTCCAACTCCGATAAACACTGCCCGAGGGTACATAAAGGTATGTTTTTTTGTATTTTTTTTATCTAATATTTATATTTACAAAGAAAGAAAATCTTAGGATATTAAAATCCGGGTTTTTAGAACTAATTAAACAAGTTTCTTTTTCAAATTGGATATGGTCAAGAGACATGGAATCATTTTAAAGTCTTCTTTTTTCAAGGATGAAGCGTCCCTAATGACTTTATTAGGGATGGCACTCCATACAGTGGGGCCCCTGTGAAGACCAGTCTATTGTTTAATAAAATTACGTTCTATAGTATCGCCTTTGGGTTTATTGCCACAGCGTCAGGGAAAGAAAATCACTTAAAAAGAAAAGATCAAGTATTTACTCACATGTAGCGGACTTTTTGAACCTTAACCTGCACGTTGAGCCGTGCTATTGACAAGGAAAGTGGCTTCGATACTAGATCAAGTGACTAAGTAAGGGAGCCGCGCTATCATTTCCAAAAAGCCCTTAATTACACATGCTACAGAGTAGCTAGCGCTGAGTCAGAGATAACTAGGACTTTCCACTACATCGTCAAATGTTCTTTCCTCAGATCGTGTTCAAATTGAAACGAGTTTCTTAAACTTCTCTGGTTTGTCTTCTCTCTTGGGTAAGGTGCCTATTTTTTTTTATTTTTTTTTTTACAATTTTTGGAATAATGTCATCAAGATAAACATGCTAACTTGGAGAATTAAGGATATACTCTGCGAGTGATGTTTGAAAATTCTCTTAATTTGAAAACGTTTTCAAATATCACGAGTAGTGTAAATCCTTATAATTAATTGCTCGAACTTTCATACAATTACTCATTTATCATAGCATTGAACGCGCGTGCGTTCATTTGTACTGCTGCACAGATAAAAAAATTAAAGATAGACTGTCCCGCTTTCAGCCAATCACAATGAAGTAATTTTCTTAGAACATACAAATATAATTCTTAGCGCACGCTTATTTTCTCAACAATGAAAAGCAAAATTAGTGCAATTTAATATTAATACCATTTATTTTTACTGTAGCCGCACCTGTTTCCTGGTTTTCTTGATTTTCTTGTTATCAATATTCCTGTTTAACAGGCTTCTGCTAGCTCTCAAAGACACATCTGAAAACATTCCAATCGAAGACGAAGTTGCCCAGAAGCAAAGTGTCCCTGAGATTAATTCAGAACTGCATGACAAGAAAGACCTAAACGCTTGTCTCGTTCCTTTGGCGGAGAGGAGCAGTGAAACAAAGGCCGGACCTGGTATTCCTGAGCGGCAACCTCCCTCAAGGCCAAAAGTGGCAACTCAGGCAGTTATCTCACCGCTAACGCTGTTTTTGCTGGGAACTGATACCGTCCACACCTATGACCCCGTATACGAGAAAAAGTTGCAGGGAAAACGTAAACGGTGGTTCAACAAGGCCTTAAAAATGGGCAGAAGGCCGTATGTATGTTTTAAATAAAGAAAAAAAAATGTATGTACATACTTTGTATCGGATTTTCACCCATGTATTTCCTCGCTGCATGCATTTTGTCATCCACTCTTGATTTTTTTCGTATAGAGAGGTGTCCATAAGGGGAGATTAGACTGTACGCTAGACGCCCTATAGTTAAAAAGTTTTAACCGCTATAACGTTGATGGAAACTCCCAATCAAACCTTTCGTAAGTACTCTTTCTTTCACGTCGAAGTCAAGAGGTTCACCTTTTTCCTTGATGAATTTTCGCAGGGCACACTCTAGAAATTGAATGCCATAAAGTTCATAGTAGCGTTCTAAGTGTGGAGCTCACAGCCATCTCAAGCTCTGGGATTTCAGCAACAAAACTAGAAATAAACGTCTAAATCGCCCGTTATTTCTAATGTAGTTTGAAAAAGACGTTTTCGTGAAGCTAACATATTTGACAGTTTTTGACTTCCGATCATTTAGTGTCCAGTTTTCAATCCCACCTAAGCAGGGCTTTTATTAAATCCTCCTCTCTGGGGATCAACCCCCTTCCATACATTCAAAAATACCTTTTAATTAACCAATACTAACGAAGTCCACGAATTGTCCACAAATATGTTGTGAACAAAGCGGTTTACATACAAGCCGAGTTGCCTATCAGGCCGGCACTTATCTCCGCTTTCTGTAGCACGAAGCGACAAGGACTATTTTCACTCCCCCTGGATAGGATGCTAGTCCATCGCAAGATTACCCCCAGCATTTGGGCGGTACCCATTTATGTATCTGGGTGAAGAGAGACTCTGTGAGAGTAAAGTATCCTGCCCACATTACAACACAATGTCCCCAACTGTGGTTCGAAACCCGACCGCTGGATCAGGAGGCGAATGCACTTACATAACGCACTTATATAGGCGCCACTGCGCCTATATACATGTATAATGTGTCCCAAAAGCGTTTCCTTTGAAGTAAGAAGCGTGGAACAATGATGCCTATTACGAGGTGATAACATCAGGTTATCAAAACAGCCACTATCTTGATGTTTCAAAGTAGTAACTCAAAAGCAATCAATCGATTTTAAAAGTCCCAAACAAAAAGCTAAACATGTAAGCTAAGTGTATGAAAGTTATATTTTTTAAATGGAAACAAGTCGAAATTTTTGGGGGAAAAACGCCTTTAAAATGTCATTGCCAGGTCAAATTCAAGTATATGTGATTCAAAATTATTGTCAAATAAAACTGAAAGTTTGGCAGCTCCCACTCAAATGTTGAAACAAGTATAAGTGGTTATGGTCCGTGCGGGCGGATTTAATGCCCCGGTCAGTTCTCCCAGTCTGAAAAGGATTTTTCCCTTACCGATGCGCGCTCATGTAGACCGGAACTGACATATTTCGAGGGAAAAGATGCCTAAAATATAGACCGGCGCGGTATGTAAAAATGCCGTAACATAAGCTTAGTACGGGAGTTGCACTCTCCTCGTGATGGGCTCCTGCTTTAAATCATGAAGTCCCCATGGATGAGTGTGGCACAAGATGGTTACAAAAGATAAAATCCCTTTAGAGAACACACTTCCTCGAGAAAGCTGGAGAGGCTAGCCACGTGCTGAATCAAGAAAACGCCCTTCAGAGGCAACACTAACTGTAACAGTTGAGCAAACAAATCGAAACAAAACCAAAACAAAAACAATCACAGAACAGAATTAAACTTAAAGAACATTCTACACCGTTCTATATCCTCTTTTATTATGGTCTTCTATTCTTACTGTTACCAAGAGAACCATTTCCTTACAAAAAGGTCAAGATAATTTTAAGTCGGAAAAAAAAAATTCTATTTCTTTCTCGCTTGTATAGTGGACAGGCTGCTTTGAGCGCAGTAAAGAAGTGACTATAAAAATTCCTTTTCCCACACCTTGTTAGGAGTAGCACTAACGACAGAACTATCACCAAGTTAAAACTGCTCAAAGCCTTACATCCACAACGACAACGTCATGATCAGGACAACTAAACAACGATTTCTAAATTAAACCCAAATGGTTCTTTAGAGACAGAAACAAACAGTAAGCCGTGTGCCTAGATTTGTAGTAGGACGACGGAATTCCGAATTAGCTGGACGACCACTTTTCCAGCTAATAGCCCGGTGCAGTGTATGTTACCCAGATGCTGATGGCTTCGGTCCAATGTCTAGAGCGCAATCTTCGCCTGTGCCTGCATCTTTTTCTTCAACGCGCGGAACTCGTCAACAGTATACTGCTTGTAGCCAGCCTTCAAGGAAAGACGTTTTAGAGTAAGTAGCTAAGGCGAGTTCCCAACAAAAGAGAAATTTAAAAAGAACCAGAAATCAATTATATCGAGCCAGGTGTAAATCATAGAGCCAAATATCGACAGAAAACTTCGAACTAGAATACGCCAGTGTAAGTGTATCGACTTACATGGCGGCTCACTATAGTCTAAGTGTGGCCTGGCTTACCAATCGACCGTTCCGAAGTGCGACTGACTGACTGACCCTTTGATTATCCGATCGGCTGATCGATCCTACAAATGACTGGCTGTCCCACTGACTAATCGATCGCCTAGCTAAAAGCTGAAGGGTAGCGGAATGACACACTAACTGCCTGATCAGCCGAGTAGCCAACTAACCAATATCTGTCTGACTGGTTGACTGAATTACATACTGACTGGCTGGCTGACCGACCGACCGACCGACCGACCGATCGCCCGGCTGACTGACTGACTGACTGTATGATTGCATTTAATTTCTGACCGACCGGCCTACATACTCATTGACAAGCTGCGCTATAAAACTGCCTTACTTAGCGTTTACTTGCCTTTTTCTCTAGCTGTTTGTCATCTTTCTTGCTCTCACCAGAACTGCAAGAAAAACAAACAAAATACAAACATTAAGAAGATTCCATTGAACTGCAATGCATATCATTGCTGCACAAAATTTCTCGCCTCATTAATGCCCGCTAGTGCGTGCTTATAACCAACCTTATGGGATTTCCTCATGTTGACCTCGGGATTAAGATCATTTAGTTAGTTATTTATTTCATTTTATAAGGTTTCACTTCGTACAATGTTAATGTGGAGAGATATATGTTTCGTGCCATCCGTGAACTCTCCCCTCCCCACCCCGGCTTATATATAATTAATTAAACCATGCCAGAGCGGGAAATGCCCAAAAAATTAGTGCACGCTCACTTAGATGAATGTGTTACCTCTGCTAGAAATTTTAGCTCTGGAGCGGGCGTGTATGAATTCCTACCATATGTGGTTTTCACGCGTTTCGGCATTCTCGTAACCAGAGCCACTTAATTAAAACGAGTAGTACTGGGGACGAGAATACCGTTTTGGAGGAGAATGGCGGAGTTCTGAGGATGTGCAGTCAATTTATCCTCTATTTTCGTATTCTCAATGATGGACTGGCACTAGCTTGCAACTAAGGCTACTGCGGGGAGTCTTGGCAAATGGTCCCGAATGAGCCTCGATTCCAAGCTAGTTCCAATCCAATACCGAGAATACGAATATGGACTATTCTACTACATGGGTTTATCCCTTGTTTAGGGGCGTGCTAATATATATTCTTCTAATACATCGTTTACCTGTATTTTGATTCCTTTTTGTCATTGTCCACAGTCCCAGCTGCCTTGTGTGACATTGAACTATCCCCAATTTTAGCCGGTGGTTCAGTTTTTCTCGCTATTCCTGTTAATCTCTTTAGAGTTTGCACTTCTAAGACCTTTTTACTCCACAGCGCGGACATTGATTTATTCTTTCTTTTCTTAGCTGGCGACGCCGAGGCTTGGTCGTAAAGTAGACTGTACAGCGGTATGTCTTCGTGTCGTTGTGCTCGGTGGTATAACTTACTCAAAACGCTCCCCTTTATGAGATTATAAGTCTGTGTGCATCTCTGATTTATAATTTGATAAAAGTTGTATTTGCTTAGCTCGTAAACGCGTAAGTTTTCCATGCACTCGACACTCGCGCAGTAGGTAGGTAGGTTCATGATAATTTCAATGTCTCCTATGATGTCATTAGGGCCTGTCGCCGTCACTGGCAACTCTCGCTGTCGCATAAGCGTCTCCATGGCAACGTACCCGTACTCTTTCCTGTGCCTACGCCTCTCAATAACTGACAGAGGGCGACTGGGGTCAAGTTTCTTCGTTGTGGTTTCAGCTCTTTCAGAGCATGCAGTCTTTCGACCGGACGATAGACTTTTAACCTTTGAACTCGCTTTCATCGCTTCATATTGCGTCATGCTCAAACGCAAGTCAGCGATCACTTTTCCCCAACCATGAAAGACAAAAAATAGACTGTTACAAATGCTTCCTTGCTTTATGAAACGATTGCCGAACTGGACGTCGACTTGTTTTAAGTTCTCCATCAGCAGGTTCTTAATAGCAGGCGTCAAGTTTCGAAAAAGAGGCGACAGATTGACGAAACTCGCTTTGTTCTCCCATTCTAGTTTATGAATTCCGAATGATCTTGCGTACAACGCCTCGTCTATGAGTAAAACATACGTCAGCTCGTCAGCTATGATAGTAGAGTTATATGTCAAGTGGTCATGTGACATTAGCATTTCCCCAAAGCTGCTTCCTGATCGCAAGCCACCAAGCGCAGGACCCACGACGGCAACACGGTCCTTATTGCTGCGAGGAATTGGTAAGGAGTCTTGCTGAGGTGCGCGTGCCTGGTCCTTTCTGGCGTGCACTGACGCAGCTCCTTTGAGAATGATCCCAAAACTGTGAAGGAATTATAGTTACAGAAAAGTATCCTTTAAGATTTTACTTCATAATACTAATTTGAAATCACTGATGATGAGGTACATATGTATATCAATGCCTCTTGATTATTCAAAGGACTTCTTTCACCCTGGACGCATTGCAGACCCACAGCAGTTTTTAAATATTAAGAGCCGCCCTCTGCAATTATCAACTATGGTCATTTGGACGAGAAAAAAAAATCAAATCCCTCGAACTCTCCCACCACCATGTCTCACCTGCAATGTCTCACCACCGTAATAATTAGCATAGTTATGCTAATTAGGACGGTGGTCTTTGTTGACAAAAGCACAGCTTAAACTTCTTCTTCTAACATTTGACAGTTTTAACAGCCCAAAAATTTTATTTATACAAAAGCAAACAATTGTCAAATACTTGTGAAATGTTCGTGGCTAGTCTGACGCGGCGTTTCGTCTCGGACAAGAGACTCTTCAGAGACCTTTAGAATTCAAAGGCAAACTCGTTGAGCATCACGCCCAAAGTCCCGTTCGCAAATTCTTGATGTTGACAGTCTGGCCCTCTATCGCAGAGGGATTCCCAACCGTACGTTCACTCGTACGGGATCTCAAGTGATGTACTTTTGGTGATATTTACGTTACTTTAAATTTCGCCATTTTTATGGGACTTCATGAGTAGTTCGAAAGTGAAGAAATTTAAAATTCTATTAAAAAAAAAAAAATCAGACTTCGATCAAATTCCCAAAACAGCCTCTCAGCGTAACAAGAAATATTTGCTTGCTTCGAATAAAGGGTTTTTACCCGAATTTATAAAGTTTTCTTTGTATGGAAAATTGTTAAAAATGTGCCCTAAAATGGCCGCTGAAAGCCCTCTCAGAGGGGTAAACCCAAGATGGTCACCCCAGCGCTAAAATGCGAATCGAATTGAACTGAAAGTTATATTTTTGTGAATCACTTATCTAGACCATTCATCTGAAAAAGTTTGAGAAATTTGATTTTTCTCGTCCAAATGACCATAGTTTATATTTACAGAGGGCGGCTCTTAAAAATGAAACCCTTTACGCTGAAACACTGGCTGCACCGATTTCTCTCGCGTGCACGAAGATCCACGTTTTCGGATCAGGCAAATATATATGATTTTTAAAGGAATCAGAGCAGATTTCGCTCATTTTTAGAATTTCTGCATGCACGAAAAAAGGCAAGCAGCCCTGACCGCAATAAACGATTTGCATTTGTCAATACATTACATATATTTCACCCTTACGAGTTTTTATTTATTTTAATCTTAATTAAATCTTAATTATGTCAACTTTTATCGCATTTGTATTTTTGCAAATGTATTCTTCCTTAATTCACTTACTTCTCTCCCTCTTGTCCCTGCCACACGATTGCGTAATCTTTCTTGACTTTCTTCAAAGTGGCATTTTGAGCAATATCCACAAGCAGATCTGTGAAATGGGCGACAAAAGATAAACACTGAACACCCGAACGCTCACGCGTGATTCCCCTGTGAGCGGACACTTATTCATAATTCTAGGCATGCACAAATCAGGGGCATATCAACAAAACGGCAGCCTTTTTAGCATTTAGAAATCGAGCACCTAAGTGGGTGGCGCTTTCGCAAGGTTTCTAGTCAAAGGAGGTTCAATAGAAAGTATTTCTCTTTGTTTTTCAGTGTTTTGTCTTTATGCTAATTTTCGGCCGTTTGCAAAAGCTTACTTATGTCTATGCCAAGTTATGCGCGATCATAGGGAAAAAGATGGCGGCCGTACATTTTACCACAATTACATGCGAACCTAATACAGCCCGTAGAGTACAAGGAAGGCCATATTTTTGCAGTATTTTTCCCTGTGCTAACGACACTGTGTATTCTAGGTTTGAAGGTTTTAGAACGTTTGGGTGCATTTTTTATGAGCGTTATTTAAGTTTCCGTGCGCTAAGAATTAAGGGTAACGGTACCAATCGCCATCGTTTTTCCTACGGCGGATTAGAACTAAACCCATAGGTCAGAGAATTCAAATAAGTCGCGCTTCCTCTGTTTAGTTTAACGCGCGCCAGTTCTTTGCAAGTGAAGGTAGGAACAGAGAAGTTATGCCACGATATAATTTCCTATTATCCTTTTTCAAACTTTTAATCGTACATGCAAAATACATAGCGTGTTTCTCTCGAGATATAGAAGCACGATTCGAAGTTTGGGAGAACGAGAAATGCTTTGGCAACACAAACCGACAGGTGAGTGTTTCCAAACTTTCCGAGTATTTCTATTAAACAATTAAATTAGGAGTTCTAGATTTCTATAGCGTGATAGTTGACGAGGGCGCAGCCCGAGTCAGCTATCACAGATAGAAATTGAGAGCGAATAAACTAATTATTTAGTATAAATCTACCAGTCGTTCAAAACTCTTTCCGTAAATCCTCTTCACAGACACTTCAGAAACACAAATAAGCGGCCGCCAGTTCGTTAACACGCGCACACTGCTAGGCCACTCACTATCTACAGCAGAATAGATAGTGAGTGGCGTAGCCAATCAGCGAACGGTATTCGTGATAGAACGCTACTAGATTTATACTACAACTCATAAGTAAAAATCTACTAGCGTTCTATCACAAATGTCGTCCTCTGATTGGCTACGTTACTCACTATCTATTATGTTACAGATAGTGATTAGCCTAGCAGTGTGCGGTTATTAACAAAATGGTTGTCATTTCTTTGGGTTTTCGAAGCATCTGTGAAGAGGATATTGATAATTTTCCAGTCAAGACGCAGATTTGTACTAAACCAATTAGACTATTAATTCGCTCTCGATTTCAATTCGTGACAGAAATCTCGAGCTCATAATCTATTTGTTAAATAGAAACACAATTTTAAACCAATCGGCGAGTGGATTTTCTTCGGGCTCTTTTCTAACCAGATATACTGTTTATCTGATGAAACCCTTGCTAGCCTATTAGCTGAGAAACGTATTGTATTTCTAGATCGAGTAATACTAAATAAAATTACAATTCTAAACGCTCACCTTTACTAAGGGCATGAAACAGAGGAGTTCTGGTTCTGAAGAAGGGAAGAATTCTTTCTACATCTTCACGCGAGCGAGATTCCTTAGGACTTGATAAAAGATGTTCCATTAGTTCTAGCATGACCTGACTAATACCTGCCGTTTTCTGATTGTTTTCTGTTGTCTTGAAATAACTGCTGTATAAAAGTAAGTATTGCGACCAGAGATTGATGAAAAAGCTATTTTCACTGAGCCATTTAACTTCTGGCAACGAATAATCACTTGTGCAACTTGAAGTTCTGATTGTTTGACGTCATCAAAAGAATTATTCAGACGATTTCCGCAGAACATTCAAACAATAACGGCAAAAATCAAGTTACCAAAAAAACCTCATGGCATGATAATATTTTGAATAAAGGTAGGAAGATCTTATCGAGACCTTAGCTCTCAAGCTGACCCCGCGAGAGNAGTCGTTCAAAACTCTTTCCGTAAATCCTCTTCACAGACACTTCAGAAACACAAATAAGCGGCCGCCAGTTCGTTAACAAGCGCACACTGCTAGGCCACTCACTATCTACAGCAGAATAGATAGTGAGTAGTGTAGCCAATCAGCGAACGGTATCCGCGATAGAACGCTAGTAGATTTATACTAAAACTCATAAGTAAAAATCTACCAGCGTTCTATCACAAATGTCGTCCTCTGATTGGCTACGTTACTCACTATCTATTATGTTGCAGATAGTGATTAGCCTAGCAGTGTGCGGTTGTTGACAAAATGGCGGTCATTTCTTTAGGTTTTCGAAGCATCTGTGAAGAGGATATAGATAATTTACTAGTCGAGACGCAGATTTGCACTAAAACAATTAGATTATTAATTCGCTCTGGATTTCTATTCGTGACAGAAATCTCGAGCTCATAATCTATTTGTTAAATAGAAACACAATTTTAAACCAATCGGCGAGTGGATTTTCTTCGGGCTCTTTTCTAACCAGATATACTGTTTATCTGATGAAACCCTTGCTAGCCTATCAGCTGAGAAACGTATTGTATTTCTAGATCGAGTAATACTAAATAAAATTACAATTCTAAACGCTCACCTTTACTGAGGGCGTGAAACAGAGGAGTTCTGGTTCTGAAGAAGGGAAGAATTCTTTCTACATCTTCACGCGAGCGAGATTCCTTAGGACTTGATAAAAGATGTTCCATTAGTTCTAGCATGACCTGACTAATACCTGCCGTTTTCTGATTGTTTTCTGTTGTCTTGAAATAACAGGTGTATAA